TTGTTAAGTTGTGGCTAAAACGCCCAAAGGATCTTAACAAGGCATCTTCATTTGTAAAGATAAGGAACAGAGAAGTCCGTGCCAAATTGATCGTCTGCACGAAATGCGGTTTTACATAATAACACTGTCTTACACTTGTGTAATTTATCCTGCGCGTGCGCAAAAAAGCGCAGCTTGCCTGCCGGGATCGTCTGCCTGCTGAATTCAAGTATGTAGACGATAGCAAATTGTGTACTGGGGAATCAAGTCTGTGAGAAAGATAAAGGGACAATTGTATCTATAGGAATGATGGACTAATCTGGAATTTTGTCGGCTGTCATCTGCTAGTTGTTGCCGGATGTGTGAGGTAAGGACTTCAGTAATGTCATTGGGGTGTTAAAAACATCCCGAACTATTTATCATTCATGTGTTCAACGCAGGTTGCAAACTCGTTTCCGTGAATCATCAGTTTGACGGGTCAATTAGTGAATAATGTCACAGAAGATATCCGGCAAATATACAGGCTAAATTGAAAACCTGCTTCACCGTCATGTCTGGATTAGAGATCACTTGAACGTTTTTGGAATTGTATACAGTTATCTTGTCCTTCATCGGGCCTAGTGACACATAGTAAAAGGTTTGAAGGTACGGACGTGCAAACTGACGATGGCGACTCTTGACATTGCGCCCGGCTACGTGGGCAGAGTACGTACTTGTAAGACGTGACACAATATGTGTACTCTCTCGTTATGCAAGAAGGTATTCATTCAAATGTATTTAGGCCTATATCATCAATTAGACAGGTCTTTCGGCGAATGGTTCTAACCAAAGTTTATAAGCAAATATGTCACGTATTAATATAGGCTTATAATTGCATACATCATTTCATGTCCTGTACATATCTTTCAGCAGGCAATAGGTTGAACGTATTTCTCAATACTGGAACCTATACATGGCTTTCTATACAATTTAGACATTTTTAATAATATATTGTCAAGTTTAACATGGAGCTAACAGCAAAGAGGACCGTTGAATTCATTCAGTGACTGTAGAAGTTAATACTAAAGCATTGCTGTCGCGAAAAGATATTTCACTGTTTCCGTCTCCGTGCATCTTGTGTCTGGTACAATTTCTATTAAAACGTTTAAAAATGAATATTTATCATATAAAAGCCATGATGATAACAGTAAGGTCCAGGGTCGGATTTTCCAACTGCAGAATCAATGCCAAAGTGAAATTTTCGTTGTTAAATGCTTTCCCTTTTACGTGCAAGTATACATGTAGGGTCTGCGACAATTTCCTTAATAAATTAAAAAAAATATTTTTGGTAACAAAATTATTGTCAGCAGAAGAGCATCTGTCTCCATAATTTTATTCCTAAGTGATGTTATCACAACAAATTCCACCCTTTTTTGTTACGCGCATTTCAGTTTGGTTACAATTTCCTTGATAATTTTGAAAGATAATTACTGTAATGAATGACCAATTTAGCAAGAAAACAAGAACTTGAATTGGTAACATTCAGTATCCGTCAAAGATATACGGAAATATATATGTGGTCTTGCTGAGTGGTAAATATTACATTGTAACATGAATTATTTGACTTTAGTGACTGTCATTGTTACCTTTGAACTTAACTAAGGACGTGCGACACATCATGATATTCAGAATGATTTAAAAATAAAAATCACGTTTTCTATAATCTGAACGAAGCAACAAAGCACATAATTGTGCATGTTATTGTAAAAGATCAGAAGATTGACTCCAAAATATTAAACTTTGAAAATTATATGTTACGGAAGGCAGATTTTTTGACATATTCAGCCAGTTCGAATAAGAGCAGGTGGTCCTTATTAATCGCGTCCCATTGTTTTGTTTCTCTTTTGTTGGAAGTCGTCTGCTTCGATATAACCCGAAGATGGACATTTAGGCTACTATTCCGTACCTCCAAGACCTCTTTCTATCTTGAAGTGCCTTGGACAAAATGCCGTGAAGATGTTTGATTGATTGTTTGATATTGACTTAGTCATTTAGATGAAAACTCAGATGTCTTTTTGGACTGTAGATAAAATACCTGTTTGATACCAAAATGAATGAAGCGATATCATGTCGCTGTCGCTTTGTCTGTCCGAGGTGCTTTCTGCCCGATTCTATCGCGCCTTCTGGCCTCCTATTGTCACCATAGGCTGCGGTTACGTACACATGGAAATACGGATCGAGTTCGATCTTAGAACGCTGTTCCCAAAGAGTAGGCTTAAGCCCCGTCTTTGTTTTAACCAAGGAAGCACACGTTATCGTCCTTGCTTTAAACCAATACAAAATGATGGTTTTCGAGACTCTTGCTAGAGTAATGCATTTGTGTGTGTGTGTGTGTGTGTGTGTGTGTGTGTGTGTGTGTGTTAGACAATGCCGCATCCAATTACTACCCTCCGTGTATTTTAGAATAAGGTCTGTAAACAGCCCGGGAAGTGAAGGGAAGGTGCAAACGCTTGCAGCGCCGTGTAATTTGCGGCTATGGTAGCATGGCCTCGCTAATTATATAGTTTGTTTTATGAAAGCAATTACTTGATCCGACATATGCAAAACTTAACGATAACTATACTTGATTTATTCTTCATACACGATTTTTAAAGTTTCTGTTTCTAAATACTCTTGAAGGATATATGGGCTTACCCCCCCCCCCAACCCCCACCCCCACCCACACCAGCCTTTTTGTTTGCCTGTCTGATTAATGCCGAGCATTTACATGTATATATGCGCGTGCATGTGGAAATTCAAATGTCTTAAGGATATATGCAATAAAATGTCAACTTTTGAGGAGTAGTTCAAAGACCCGCAGAGTAGACACATGCTGCGAAACGCTCAAGATGGTATTACGTACGAGAAAAGGCTAATCATATAATGCTAATCACCATTCCCTTTTATTTTCATATGTTTAGAATGCGTGACAATCAGTCCTACAGGAATGATAGTCGACGACACGCTTTTCATTAATTATATATCTTGTTTAGGGTTTTACGCAAGGTTTCTAACCTACAGTGTATTGGCCTCCATCATCTGCTGTAATAATATTATATGTTAAACTACTAATACAACAAAATAATATGATGATATAAAATACATATCTTTTATAAACTAGCATATATGAGTTATATTCCTTTTCTTCAATATGGTGGGCGCCGTATTGCCGAGTATTACGCTTAATGCTGTTTATACGCATAGGGCATCCACGCGTTTTTTAATATAACGCGCAGAGCGATCATTACTTTTTCGCCTAGTACGGGGAGAACCAACTGATTAAATTGACTTAACGTCTACAATACTCCTTTTATTAACATCTCATGCCGACTGTATATAGCTGTTCCGAAGCCATTTGTTTTGACGTCACGCTCGGGAGGTTCTAGGTGCCCACAATGTACTGTTGTCTTGCGTTTATACTAATGCTGAGGAGATGCTAAGAAACATCATTCAATCTCTTCTCGCTTAATGAGTGAATTGCAATATATTTATCTCTGTTTTGGTAAGAACCGTATTGATGATTTGTCCCATGTCGTTTTCTAACAATGTAAATATATGTGTCTGTTGTTGGAAGCTTATTTGTGATCTATTTTCCTTTATTTTTCTGTTAATTTTGTTCGTTAATTTTTTTTACAATGTTATAACAACTAAATGTACGAAAAATGCGCATTACGGGATTTGAGGGAGAGAAAGAGAGAGCGATGGGGGGGGGGGGAGGGGGGAGTAGTGTAATGGAGGGAAAGAGATAGAGGAAGGTGGGGACCGGAGGGGGTGAAGTTGAGAAAAATCCCCCACCCCCTCTTTAGACCCCGCCTCCACCAATGATCCAAGACCATCACTGCTCGCCACGGTAAAACCCGCTTTACTTAAAGCTCATTTGTGAGGGCAACGGAATATTAATATGGTCTGGTCACGATGAAAATGACTTTGTCGGGGCATGTTTCATGATATTTAACAGTTAAGTGTACTGCACCAGGACAATACGGTAAAAGAGAGGTAAGATCAGTTTCTGTAGTCTCCAGTAGATGTGTGGCGTTTCCATTACCTAATACATATTATGATTATTACATAAACTTGAATGCGTTTGGTAGAGACAGGGAGAGATGGGCATTATTTTGAGAGTGCGTACTCACGGGGATTTCTTCCGTTTTCTGTTGGCTTTGGATTCCGTATTGTCTATGGACTCATCACCTATGCATTCTTCACAAATGCCTGTTTCACAAAACGAATATCAAGAGGGCATCTATTTCTAGCAAACAACTAAGTATTGTCAGTATTGTGAATACCATGTTGTGGATACATGTATGAAAGGCCGCAGTCAGAGACAGCGCTTTTGATTTATCTGTTGACACTCGATCAAATGACAAGACAAAACCACTCCACGGACGCTCTGCTGAGTTCGTTGACCGTTCATTTGCAACGAATAAATTTTTGAGCAAGTGCCTACTGCTTCCTTAAGACTGAAATGATGTCTCCATTTATATCGTGTTTGTGGTTTTATTACACAACGACATAGGGGCAGACAAGAAGACTTGTTGACGTCACGGCTCAGGGTTGCATTGGCTATCAGTATTTACTGTTTATACTGCAATACTACCTGGTAGAAACTCACGAAATCATTTTTTTGTTTCGGCTTTAAACTATAAATCGATTATACTGATTAATTTAGGGTCTAAGTGCTCAGTGTTGTGATTGCTTTATTTGCACATTCTCATTTCAGTTTGATTACCCAATTAAGGGGACATTATTTATATACTGGATTTGACGGTACTGTTATGCAATTTATCTGGTTGTGGTCTTCTGCTAAGTAAGGGTATATTTTCTGGTTATCTTGGTATCTCTTAGGAGTTTTTTTTTCAGATTATCTTATTCAAATAAGAGTAATCTGAGAGAGACAACAAGGCGGGTAAAAAACCACAGACACTAATACACGAGCACATTGATACTGGTTTTTCCTTTTGTAAAAAAAAAATCGTTTAATATTTTATTTGGTATTGTTTCAGAGATGAGTTGGTTCAAGGCGTTTCGTATGCCGAGTGGCGAGACTTGGTATGATGAACAACACGTCTCCGTGTCTGTGGACGTGCGGCAAGTGGCCGTCATCTTCGCCTCAGCTGTCATCTCTGCCGCCATGTTGGTTTCTGTGATCGGTATAAGAGGGCGAGAGGTAAGTGCTTGATTCACTTTTACTCGGTGGCAACTAATGGTTTTGACTGTAAAATGTGTTTTCCCTCCTGCGTACTGAGTTTCGACAGACACGTCAACGTCCCTTGATAGGTTTTTGATTGAGATCTTATGAACACGGAAAGCTTTTTTGGTTGAAAGACGCCGGATCCCTCAAAGACCTAATTTGATATTTAATAATTTAAAATACTGTTATTCAATGTCATAAATAAGAGTAAGATATAATTTTTTTGCTCCATATAATTTTTAAGTCGTTCAATGTCAGTTAAAGATATTTTTTTCTCGTTGCAGAAGTGGAGTACATTTCTAAGAGTTTTATACAGTTTATTCATTTTTATCACAATATTAGGTAGGTACATTTGTTTTGGCAACAGAATTGACATTCAATATATACATCCATTCACATACATATACAGTATATAGAAGTCAAAATTAAAGTGTTTGTGTCACTGTGTGTGTGTGTGTGTGTTTCACTGTGTGTGTGTCTGTGCGTGCGCGCACGTTTGCGCGCGTTTGTGTTTGGGGTAACCATACAGAAAAAAATTAAAAAGGATGGTATAATTCCGTGTACCCTCCTGCGCTTATAACTGACCTGGTTGAAAAAATGTGGGGAGGGGGTTTATGCCTCCGTGACCCTCCCTTCGCTCCTACGCCTAAAATGCATGTACCGGTACATACATGCATATATACGTACATATACATACGCACTAATGTATGCATATACTCTCGGTGGCTTCTGTCAAGACCTGAATACGAATATACCGGTACTCTTTTTCTGTATTATATGTCACATGCGACGAAAAGGATATTACGTCTGGTTCAAATACCTTTCAAAGAGCCCATTATATCTCGTCAGCGTTCGGTGACACGCAGACCCATCACTCGAACCAGTAAAATCAGTTAAAAAGCAATAATGTGTCGTAACACGAGAAATCTAATGGAAGAGAGGAAAGACAGGGTCATTATGATGAACATCACCCCTGTACATGTATTCTCTTGTATATCATTTGTCATATCTTATGTAGAACATTCATCGCAATAAATAAATAGATAGATAAATAAATATAATTAATAAGTAAATAAATAAACAGCCTTCACAGTACCGATTTCAATGAGATCTTTTGTCATTTTCAGTGACCGTTTTCGGCCAGGACTGGCAGTTCTCTAGCTTACGAAGCAAGTGTCCCTATAAAATCATGTCCACAGAAGATATACACGCCGACATCAATGTGAATATTGGGCTGAACAGTGTAAATGTTAGTCTTGCAGGTGAGTAAATAACATAATTTTATTTACAATAGTAAATGGCATACAGTTGAAGTTGAACAGTGTAAGTGTGGGTCGCTAAATACTACACGTAGTAGTTGGCATATTCAGTGATTTGACGTTGTCACTAGCACTGTTGGTAATGTGAATATATGATATGATAGTTGACTGAAGATGTTAATGTACGTAGTATTATGTTCTTATATCATGAATGATTCAGTGGCAATGTGTGGCATTAACAGATTATTAATAAATCACTGAGTGACCAAAAATGTTTGTAATAGAAAAAGCAAAGCAGCTTATTGAGTATAACAGAAATCATGCATTACACAAAGATCAACGATTAGTACCAATACTGTTATTATTCGAGTGTTTTTGTTTATTTATTTATTTTTTTTTTTTTTTGTTATTTAGGTTATTGGGCATAATATAACCATATCTAATCTATTTCTTAATAATTTTCAGCTACTTTGAACTTAAACTCCAGTACAAGGCACATATATTACAATGAGCGTTTTTCCTGGATAGGTGGTAAGTACAGTTAATTGTCCAAAATTTCCATCCATCAGTGTTTTTCCACATTGTTATAATTGTCTTCTGAATGATTGCAGCAGAATCCCCAAAATCAGAGGACGAAAGGATTAGAATGTAAGATAAGCACTATATATAGCTCTCTATGGATAGTTCTTGGCTTTTATTTATGCACATATATTGAAACAAAACTTGTTCAACTTGTATTATACAATATCAAACATCTTGAAAACGGCTAATATCGTGCATACCAAAATACCCCAAAAATAGGATTCTCTCCTCCCCTTCTTAGATATTAAGGCGGTTTGCAGGTACAGGTGGATTTGGCGGTCAATAATACACTCACTTGAAAGAGCACAACTATAATAGGTTTTTTAGGAACCAAGTAAGTTCTAGTTGTTCCATTTGCATACTTAGGAACTAAATGAATGAATGAATGAATAATATTACCCGGTGGTTTGGCTTTCTTCTACATAGCTCATACGTTAGAAGCATCAAATTTTATTATCTTTAGTATTAAGTCATATTTTTCGCAAAATTTCAGAATACATAAACGGACAAACGATTTTACTGGCTTGGAAAGCTAAATACCGTAATTCGTTGGCTTTCTCATAATTTTTAATTTCCCTGCTGAAATAGAACGCTGTTTTTTACCGGAAGTATACCTTATTGTGATTAAAGCTCATTGTGAAAAACCTTATGAGACGGAAATCTGAAACTTAGTCTGTAAGTCTATTTGACCCTAGTCCCAATGTTTAAAACAACGATTACATGGTATTTTGGGTTATTAGCCAGACGATGGCCCACGTCATGGGAAGGTTGAATTACAGAGGGCTTCAAATGATTGCATCTGTGAATTCCGTACGTGTTTGGAGCCTATAAACTTAACCTAATTGAAACGGCGTAAATGTTTACCTTTCGTAATTACTCTGAGAAATTATAGGCTCATTGTGCAAATTGACAGAGTCTATATGGGCAAAATAACTACAAATGTGAAAGTTATTTTATCATTCTGTGTAACCTGCGCTTCGTAATCTGAAGCTGTTAGCTTTAGGGATATATGTATATATACATGGTATACCTGTATAAACAACCCTGCAATTACCAGTTTTTAATTTTCACACTTAAAAGCACATCTTTCTGATATTATCACAGGCCAGCTGAAGCAGAATGAAAAATGAAAATAATACAATACGCATAACTTGTCCCCTCTTAATAAGCTAATGACACGCGAACCAAAATATCCGCGTTGAACTCTGCCCTTTCGTTATTTATATGAATTATTTTTTCTGTTTCATGAATGTATCTGGACACACTTTATGAAGATGTTTTAGGACCTCGATCTCATATATCTATATTACTGTGCGTCTATGTCAAGTGTGAAAGAAACACAGACAGTTGAATTATGCCTCGCAAAGAGAACAGATTTATAATCTTGATGACACATGCCACAGCCGGTTACAGAAACTGGCTATATGTGTTTAAGCGTCACCTCGAGGCCTATTAGCTGCTCTCAGGGCGCTGAACCTAGACAGATACTGGGGCTGGCTTCACAAAAGCACTGAAACAGAAAGTTCCTCTAAAATTCATGAACATTTTAGTGCAGTTTCTTCCAGTACAAAATCAGTCGCTGAGGCAGGTTTCACAAAATGAGCTACCGTCCGAAAATGGGACTAAACAAATCGGCTAAAAAATTTGGTCTACCTCAGTTCAAAATAGGGCCTATATTCTTACTTCATTTTTTATAATTAAGTGTATATCTGTTTGAAACAGCAGCCTAGTATTTTCTGGTGTAAAAAGAGCAATGTTGATCATTTAATGTGTTAACTACTTATTTGACATCGGTCAATTAAAGTAGACTGAAAATCTGTTCTAAAATTTAGACCGCTTGTCAGGCTTAATCTCTAGTGTGTGTTAAGTTTGAGTTTTGGCCTGTTGTCCAAAATGTAAAGAATCCCATATGCTTTTGACTGATAATGACCTAATCTTTTAAATTCATGTGGATCTGCACTACATAGAAATTAATCCACGATTTTGATCTTTGCGTTACATATGTACACAGATCGTTGATTTTCCATATTTCAGTGAACCAAGCTGAAAAAGAATACGAAGATGCTCTGACCCTGGGGGCGCCCTCACCAATCTTATTGGTAGCCGAATATATCAGTGTTGATAAAGGAGGTCTGCGGTGGCACCGTGCTTACAGGCAGTCAGGATACTTTACTTACATAATGTTATGGTAAGTTTGTCGGCATCACGTTGGTTTAAAACCGCACCAGTTGTTTCTTTTAATAAAATTTATAACGACGCTGTATTTACGTCAACCACAATATGGTGTTGGGATACATCGTTTATTTTACAGACAGTCTTGGTTTCACTAACATTGTGTTGTTGATTGTTGCACAGAAATTGCTCAAGTTTATTTTGACTGTTATTGAGATACATATCAAGCTACTAACATTTGAAATATTTGTCATTAGTGGACAGACGTGAAGTCTTTCAGGTTCCATTAGGCTAGACATTTGGCAAGGCACGAGAAAACGTCATTGCTTGGTTCTATCTGCCTCACTTGACGTTTGTTTCACTTGACGTTTTGTTTCAAATAATGCATATAGCATCCGATAATTACGTAATAAATATCAAATTGGGGCAAGGTTAAAAAGGTACATTCATTGTACTACGGTGTCACGCTCTTCTGATATCTCCACTGTAAATTTCTCTCTTTATCTCTCTCTATGGTGCCATGGTCGATACGACCTTCGACAACTTATGATGCCATTTTCAGCGTCGGATTCCATGCTGCGTACCATTTTTTCTTTGTGTGTTGCTTCTCGTCGCGTTTATCTTTAGTTGGTTTAGAAACAGGAGCCTGTCTGCCTCTAGCTTTCTTTTTGAAGACATAGCCGGTGAATTCTATCTCGGTTTCCCTTAAGATTTCTAAAGATTTCTAATTCATTGTAAATAAGTTAAAATATTATTGACGTTGAACTGATACTGGAGTGACATGTCCCAAGACTGAATTATGTACATAATGATGTTGCGTTGTTACAATGCAGTAAGTGTTGTACATGTATCACTTCAGTTATTATATCGGCTGAAGTATAGGATGCTTTGATGTTCTGAAAATGACATTATAATATTTTAATTACTCGGTTGCTACATGTATAAATTAAACCATGTGACACCAATTAATATCCATAATTATAGTTTGATGTGTCTGTTAAGTGTCATTTTCATAAGGCACATTATAGTCTTCTTTGGGTTCTGGCATGAACCATGCCAGTAATACTGCTAGTCCTATAAACTTTGTTTTTCCTCCCTTGAAGTTTTGTGATTTACTATTTATATATGGCATTAGCTATAACACATTCATTTACAAAAAGAATTAAATCTAGCAATATCTAAAGGACAGATCATTTTAAGACACTTTTTTTAAAAGATGTGTTCAGATCCAATAACGTACCAGAAGAAAAAGTCAAAAGCTGCATTTTAATTCACAAAGATGTCATACATAAAGCTAAGGCGTCCTTGCCCCTCAGTAAAATATTAAGTTGACATTTTTCATGATAATTATCCATTGGCACTGTGTCGCCGGATACATGACTGAAAAAGGATATATTTTCTTCCATTTGAATTCGAATTCAAAACATCATTACAAGTTTTAGTAATTTTTTTGTATTGGTGGATTACAATTTTACATTTAATATTTTATGAACACAGTTACATTCTCACAAGTGAAAATATGCATACACATATATTGGGTGCATTACGCTATCCTGAACCGTGATTCATTAAAGAGCAACGGTTATACGGAGTGTCTCTTGTACTGTCGTCTTCTGCGTGATGATGATTATTTGCGGAAATCCATTACTACATTTAGCAGATCATATCATCACCTGTGTACAAATAATCACACTTGGTGCTTGTAAATCTCAGCGTGTGTATTTTTCCAAGTCAAGAGGTCGCTTAAATTGTCTTTGTCAATTCATATACGTTATTATCTACATCTTGAATTTTGCACTTGTGTGCCTGTATCTATAGTAGGCCTACATAGAAAGATATTTAACAATGGCAACCAGTCCACCCCTCCCCCCCCCAAAAAAAAAAAAAATAAAATAAAATAAATAAATAAATAAATAAATAGATAGATAAAATGATTAAAAAAACAAACATACAGGCAAAAATTTTAATAACCTTATTTTTTTCTGTGTATTAGGATGCTGGACATTTTGACTGAATGCATATGCCAAAATCGCTCCTTTCTACTGTCTCTAATGTAAATGGGGATACGCTTGGCTCTTAAGTAAACGATGTAGAGAATGCTTTAATAAAATCGTACAAAAATGAAAATATGTTGGATACCATTTTTAATTCAAAATGTATCTTTTCAGGGCGGCATTTGCGTTTTGGGCCTTAGCTAACTGCCTTCTCTGCATGGTAGTCTTCTACGGCGCTTGCCTCGTTGTGATCACCGGGATGACCTTGACCTCAGCCTCGTTTCTGTATCATATGTTGCAGCCTGGTCACCGACTTACAATTCCCATGGAAGATGGATTTATTGTGTTATCATACGGCTGGTGCTTTTGGCTCACGATGGCTGCAGGTGCGAATGTCTATACCTGGATTTTGAAAATCACCTTCCAATTTGGAAAAAGATTCTTCTTTTGCCGCTTTATATTTCATTCTTGCAATAATTTCATTCTAGAAAACTATGGATTGTAAAAAGGAACTTGCGGATTATATTTTGTCGTAAAAATATTTGAATATTTACCATGAAAACAAGTTTGTTATATTGACTCTCTTTTTTTTTTTTGCTTTTGACTTTATTCTGATTATGATAATATTGTTATTATGATTGTTATGATTTTATTTATCCATTACTTCGTCTTTTTTCATTTTCCAACTGCATCTCTCTATTCTCTGTTCTGGTTTCTTTGCAGGTGTCCTTACAATCTTCGTAGGCATCTGTATACTGGTGATGGAGGAGTGCGTTCCAGATGCCACTGCAACCTTCTTTCTTCTGGATTCCTCCACACTGGACACGGACGATAAGTACCTTGCGGCGCGAGCCCAGACCGACGTGGACACTGACCTCCGGGTCCGGGAGGCCATCAAAGACACGGTGACACATGCTAAACCCAAGGTGAGTGAGTCCCTGCTTGCGTTTCCTCTCCATTTCCTTGTACTGCAAAAGAGGGAATGTTGCGTAAAATTAAAACAATTTTTGTGGTTACATGGTATGGTTCAGATATTTCAAATCTTTGAAACTTAAAGTAAATTTAATTAATTAATTAATTAATTAATTAATTAATAATTAATTAATTAATTAATTAATTAATTAATTAATTAATTAATCAATCAATCAATCAATTAATTAATATTTATTTATTTATTTATTTTTCATTTCAGTTTTCGTACGTTGACATGTCGAAGGTAGGAGATGGCGTTGACAGCTCAACCTCAACAGAAGTCGACCTGCCGAGGTATTACACGAATATGGGTTACGTGCCATCGGAAACAAATTTAACAAACATCACAGAGGAAGCTCCGGTTTCCAGAAGGTTCACTGACAGTGACCACAGCAAAAATCCTGCCGCAAGAAACTTTGCAAAAACGCTTTCACCACTACATGATGGTGGCATATACTTTTTGTCCGGCCGAGAGGATTATTTAAGTCCACGTGGAAGCGGGACTAGTAATCCTAAAAAAGACAGAAGAGAGCAAACTAAAAGTAAACGTTTGGGTCCTGAAAAGAGAAGTAACAGCTTCAGTGCTGACCGAACTGAGATGAGGACGTACAGTCCAGATGCCTCGCATTATGAAACTATTCCAAAACTATTCAGAGGCCAAGAGAGTTTTCTATACTGAAGTGACAACACAAAATCCTTTAGTCAAGTAAATCAATGTCATTTTAATGCAGACTTCAAGAAACACAAGACTACGTGTTGTGATAATCAAAAGCAAGAAAAAAGTGACACCATTGACGTCACGGCAATATGGCCGTTGTCATGACGTAGACATGTTGAAGTGACGTCATGGACACTACACATAGACCATCTACGTTTTAAAAATCAACGGTTGACTGAGAGCCGGTCTCTAGAGGAGATAGCCGTGAACGAAAAACGATTAAGTCTCATATTAAGACGGAAATCATACAGTGGCAAATCGCATGTCTTCAGTGTTACTTACAATGTGCCATATAAGTAAAACTTAAGAGCATTTTCATTAGTAGACCTCTGATGAGACGGTTCTTTTAGATGTTATATTTTTTCTTTCTTTCTTTCTTTCTTTCTTTCTTTTCTTTTTTATGCAACTTTGACTTGTTGAGTATTTGAGGTGAATAGCGTTTCAGGCGTAGTCCATGTTTATTTCAAACGAAATCTACATGATTTCATACTTAAGCATTGTTACTGGACGCTTTTTAAGTCGTCATTTTTAAGTCACAAGTTTCCTTTTAGGTATATATATATATATATATATATATATATATATATATATATGTAAGCATTTGAATGAAGTTTTGCTTCAGAGAGCAGCATATGCAGTGAAAATAGTTAATTTTATGTAAAACTATTTCAATTTTGATGTAAACGAAAGGCAATCATTTGTTTCTGTGACGTCCAAAGAATGCCTTGGTTTAGGTCAACCTNTTAAGAGCATTTTCATTAGTAGACCTCTGATGAGACGGTTCTTTTAGATGTTATATTTTTTCTTTCTTTCTTTCTTTCTTTCTTTCTTTTCTTTTTTATGCAACTTTGACTTGTTGAGTATTTGAGGTGAATAGCGTTTCAGGCGTAGTCCATGTTTATTTCAAACGAAATCTACATGATTTCATACTTAAGCATTGTTACTGGACGCTTTTTAAGTCGTCATTTTTAAGTCACAAGTTTCCTTTTAGGTATATATATATATATATATATATATATATATATATATATATATATATATATATATATATATATATATATATAAGCATTTGAATGAAGTTTTGCTTCAGAGAGCAGCATATGCAGTGAAAATAGTTAATTTTATGTAAAACTATTTCAATTTTGATGTAAACGAAAGGCAATCATTTGTTTCTGTGACGTCCAAAGAATGCCTTGGTTAAGGTCAACCTCGTTGGCTGTCAGAATTAGAAAAGACGATAATTCTGCAGGTTTGCTGATCCTGTGATATTTCTTTAAAGTAAAAAAATGGATATTTGTGGAGAAGATTAAGTATTGCCACTTTCTCCTCCTCTTTCTCTGACATATCCATATCAATATTTCTACGACAGGTAGATTTAGGGAATTATAAGTATTATCATGACGTCACATCTCAGGATAATTCCCAACGAGGCAGGATTGGTGAAGCGTTGGAAGTGAAGTGACGTCACAACTACAGGCGGCAGTTCTATGAATTACACTTTGAGGTCACATGAGTATTTCCCAGAAAACGTGACTGCCTTAGATGACAGAAAAAAATCTTTTGATCCTAACATGTAAAATGTATTTATATTTCTTATCGCAGTAATACAGAAATATATACGTGCATTATGGTTTCATTAACAAAATAACGCTCGGCGGAAAAGTGAACTGAACACGGATATTTCATTTAAACAGGCCAACACACATAATAGTCAGGCAAAATTATTAATATTTGATTTCAGCACATTTGTTGTGATAAAAATCGAGTCCCATCTCTTTACCGCTTATACGGTCTTAATTTTGTGAGATATTTTGATAGTCGTTGAAGGCGTTTGAAACAAATTGTGCAGTGGAAAAATATCAGCTCTTTACAGTTCCAAAAATACTTGTATAAAAAGTGTCTTTCACAAGTCCCTGCCAAACAGCGTAGATTAGAGATAGATGGAATATCATCAATGCGTCAAATGAATCATTGTACTACAATAAAATGCACCTAATCAAGGATTTCTAATTTCTCAGGAATGATTATTTATTTTTAAATGCGCTTGATGGACTAACAATGCCATTATTTGCTGTGTATATACGCCATTACCATCATTGTTATTCGTTTTTATCATGAGAACAGCTTTGGGGATGACGTCGGTGACGAAATATAGGCGCATTTCAGCATTTCTAGACTAAGGGACTGTTCAGAACCGATTGATCCGCGGAATACCTAGTTTAAAATATGGCTCGCACTTGTCAAGTTAGTCCGCGGATCAACTGATTCCAAACAGGCCTTTATAAACAGAACAGAAAGCTATCTGTGTATGTTGTTATTAAATTGGCAGAGCTTCCTTGTGTGAAGCTAAGCGTTAAGGGTTTGTTATTTTCGCTTAAATCGCAAGGCTATCTTTTAGCCCTGTCACCATTACCATTGTACGCTCCCCAGGTTTATATATCATGTTTTCAACAATGCCATGCTTGGATTTTTGGCATAATTAAAAATATTTCACAAGTTTCAATTTGACTGAGTAGAAAGTAAATTTCTCATTGAGTTTTTACAAATATACAGCGTGCCATTAGGACGACTATCAGATAACTGCTTCATATTACTGCTAGTAACGTGAATATAGTTTATACATCAATTTATTATGTTATGTGTATCCTTTATAGTCACAAAGAGGGTTTCGCGTAAATGCTTTGATACATTAGCAAACTATTTTAATTGACATATAAGAGAGAGAGAGAAGGAAAGACATACATTGACTGCATATCTTGCTGCGCAAGGTTACGTCGTTTAGGGCTTCAATACTTCGCCATATGCATTACTTTTATATTTATTATATTTCTGAAGATGTTAAACATGTACGGATACAAACGTGTGGTTCTGGGGACAAAATTGATTTATCCGATCATACCATGGTCAACAGTGGCAACCCCCTAAGACAAATGTCAGCATTACAACTGCATGGTTGTAAACTGTTTCCCACATTCATATGCTTTTGTTTTGCTTGTAGACTATTGGTGCTACATTTCAAATATAGTTCACGTTATTTGTGATTACTTAATCTAAGAAAAAGAGTGACAACACTAGAGTATATGTAACATTTTATGGTTGTGATATATTTATAATATTAGGTGAAAATAAATGATTGTTACCAATCTTTAGTTTCTTCTTTTAATATTTATCTCTCCCAAAACATACAGTTTGTAAATGGCGTGGGTGAGTGTTTAAAAAACTAACTTCCTGAAGTAGTCTTGCCGTAACATACAGTGTACATATCGTTAACATTCCCATTCGTGTTATACTTAAATATGTTCATGCTAATCTAGGTCCCTTTATTTCTTTACAGTATTGTCTATCTACTTACTGTAGTTAAGAACGTTCATATCAAAATATTTAGATGAGATTTTCATTATAGGTAAATACGAGTAATGTAAACCTGCAGCCTCTTATTCATCTCAAGAAAGCACACATTGGCAATGGAAGTAAAAAATAAGACTATGATTAAACAATAAGAAAGATTCGGAAGTTAGTAAGTTAGAGGTTAGTTTAGAGTGTACATACGCGACTTTCAAACTAGCGTCATGAAGATGTATTCAAACACATCTTAAATCGCGTATATGACCATGATCCTATGAATGCGTTAGTTGTGATTGACGCATTCTAGTCACAATCGCCAGTGCTGTGTTGTGGCAGTATGACATATTTTACACCTAACGCACTAACCATCCACGACTTTTGCGACAGGACCCATTCGACTGTTTGTGGGCCTAAAAACGTGTTGTAAAGATCTTCGTCTCAAGGCTCCCAGCACACATTTATGACAACGTTAAGACCAAAAAGGTTCAGTGTAAAGGGGTCTTTATTATATTAGAACTCCCATTCCTAGGACTACCATTCCTGTCACACCGGTATTAATCAAATAAATCATTACAACTTCAATTTAAAGAAATAGGCAAACGATTAACATAAGCTTTAAAATTACTTTTTAAAATGACTTTCATTGGTTAAATGATTGGAAACATTCCGTCTTATCATGCCGGAGGAGGCTTACTTATATTTTCATTTCTTTGCAGTCCCACTCATTGGAAGACAGAGATCTAAACTCACAGGGCATCACTTTAAAATATATGTATTAATAATCAATTATTTGTACGAAATGCCAGAATTAGGATAAATCGAACAGGAGTATGTGACTCATTCACGACTGTTTGACGTGCTATCATACTTCCTAGTTCACAAGAAGGAAGTGACTGGGGGCACTAATTGTAAAAAATACAAGCAAGATGGCGGCCTCTCGCACCTGCTCCAATTTAGCAGGACTGGGATATGCCGGCATTCTGATCATGCTGGTTTGTATCATTGAGTTTAGTTCAGTTGAAGGTGAGTTAAATTGAAAGGTCAGGTGCATGAAAAGCACGGATGAGATTTCACACAGCGCGTAGATTAAAGGAGACAAAATAAACAGTGAAGATTGAACAAGGTGGTCCATTTGTAAAAAAAAATATGAGGTACATTATAATTTGCAGTACACGTTGGTGTGCAGGCACGCTCAGCAGCGAAGTGTCGCAAGCCGGGGTGCGGCAGTTACGGGTGATAGACTGTCTTTGAAAACTGTGAATACTACAGGTACATTGTATTATGTTTTAAAGTATAAGCAAAACTGAATAAACATCTCTTATTTGCAGGGGCTAGGTCTGTTGTCATGGGAAAGCGGTTTGTCAGCTTGTATTCAGTTTTGTTACAGTGAATTGTGAGCAGCACAACCGTCTCACAGATAATTAAGATATTAGTCATCATTTGATATATAAAGTATCAAAGCCTAGATGACGTCATGTATAAATATGTATTACAGGCATATAATTCTGCATACAATTGATCTTGAAAGCCATAAAGTGATTCTTCAAAATATGTATGGGGTTTCCCCAGCTGAGCAAAGGTTATAAGCATATTCGAGTGTGTTGAACCTGCACCTTCCTGTTTGGCATATTTTACGTTTGCTTCCGCGTCAAGTCTCATCCTCAAGCAGCGGAATGTATGCATGAATCTAGGGTCATGCCATTTAAGAAAAGTTAATATGACAGCAAACGTGTCGGGGTAAGAAATTCTAACCATGTACCCCACAGGATCAAATTTTGTGCTGAATTTACGGTTTGACATGGTTTTCAATGCAACAACCAACATTATACATTATACGTGTCAAAAACACAGATAACTGATTACATGTGTTTCACTGCTATTCATTTTTTTTTTTGCATCGCTATTCAGTGTCTTGTAAATGTATCTTATCCCCAAAGACCTTGGGGAAAATATCTTATGGGATGACGAATGTGAGCGTTATATTCTTTTCCCTAAGGTATATGCAGTGAATCAGACATCGATGCTCTACCAACGGGCGGCAGGTGCCTTCGACCATTGATGAAAATGCGACTGTGTGGTACGAGGACGCCAACTGTATGCGCAAGTAAATACCAACCTATTTTTATCTTTGTTAAATGCGCTTTTGGGATTTATATATATTTTTTATATTTTGGCCTTACACTTGTGTTTGCGTAAACCCGGTAGGAGGACACATGCAGGAATGAACACACATACACACACACTCTAACTATAGTGGGGATATCTATTTAAAATACTTACATGTAGGTCATAGTTTTCAATAATCATTATGGCATGGTTTTTTTAAAAGAAACAAATGCTACTGAACAAAGTAGTTATGCACTGTATAAACTTTAAAAGATATTTGAACTATAAAATGACTCCTCAAGTAGACTGTGCTTTAATATTTCACACAGAATATTATTCAGATAGATAAATAGATAACTTATTCCAACGAGAGCAGAAGGTACAAAGATTTTTACAAACCCAGGATATGCTTAATATCTATACAATCAACTAAAGAAATTATACTTCAGCTGGTCCATGCCCTCCGTTTAGTGGCACTACTACATGTAGTATTGAAATACCATGTAAAATAACAAGGGGCAAACATCTTATGTCAATTGACTGCTTATTGTATTGCAGATTATTATCCAGGTACATGTACCACTAGTACTATACATGTATACCAAATACCATGTGACAGAAAACCTATTTTTAGTGCCACAAAACGTGACTCAAGTGTTCCATAAATACGGTGCACAGGGTGCATCAAAGATGACAAAACTCAGAACGGTAGAACAATGTGTTCATGGGTGTGCAGGCAACTCCTCCTGTTATGCCGTGGACTGGAATACTGCTAGTGAAGAGTGCTGGTTTCACGGATCTGCCACATTTTGCAATACTCAAAATGTCGCACATGACTTTGATCATTATAAAATGCAAAAATGTAGTTCAGGTAAGATGTACTTTTTTTAGTGTTACTTTTTAATCAATCCCAGCGCATACAATTCTTCAAAGTATTAGAGACCAAAATTTGGTCACAAAGTAGGAATCTATTTACTTTCGACAAACAAATAAACAGATAAAAAATATTATCCAAACGTTAATTCTAGCCATTTTGTGCATCGATTAGTTAATAATGAAATATTTGTTACATATTTGATACATTAACTTTAATATCACAATATTATTTAACCGGGTCAAAATGGCAAATGTGTGAAAATAAAAACATTTTACTTCATACTAACTGTAAGGATATATACATTTAATGCCGTAATTAATAGTCCACACAAATTATTTCATTTTGCACAATATTCTTTACTGGCCTAGCTAGTACATTGCGTTGCTTTCCTTATTAAAGGATGGGAGTGCAGTAAACAGTGTGGCAGTGGCAGTTGTCAGCTGAGTCCAGATTTCTTCCAAAACCAGCAATCATGCATTTGTCATGTAGGTTATACAGGAGACACTTGTAGCAGCCGTAAGCCTTTTTTGATAAGTATTTTGTCACCAGCAAATTATGTACTTGTCTTTTTTTACGATATTCATAAAAATGTCTACCCTGGGGAGGATTACCTATGCACTGATATTTGTCGTTCGTATTAACCTTTTAATTAAAATCTCATAGGCATATTTAACAAAACATTGGATGCATTCTACATTTTATCTTATAATTCGTGTAAAATATTTTGATACAAGTACTAGTATATTCTATAGTGGATTTTTAATGAAACTTTCTTTGTTGATTGCAATATACATAACGGCAGTTATGTAATGTGTAAATACAAAATCTTAATTTATTATCATAAATATAAGATTTTGGATGTAATTTCTTTACTTGCAGCTACGACATGCCCTGACCCTGAGAGTGGGGAAAATACAACGGTGCATTTACCATCCCAGGCTTGCAACATTGGGGATGCAAAACAGTACACATGTATCCAGGGACATTTTCTCGAGAACAACTCCACTTCAAAAGCAATACTTTGTCAAGTCGACGGAACATGGAATGATACTGCTGCCCAGTGTAAACCTGGTAATTGTACGCCACCGGATGTTGGAAACAGCGCAACGACATCTAAAGTTCCGCCATACCACGTGCACCAACACGTGGACTTTGAATGCCCAATTGGTCACGTGTTCCCTGGTGGCACTTCCATAAAGACGATCACCTGTACTACAAACCTAACGTTCAACGCATCCATCCCAAATTGCTCACGTGTGCGGTGTCAACTGCCGATGAACTTGGTACACATGAAACCAAGAGAAAGTGGACCGCGTCTCTTCGAAGACCACGTGCATTTAGATTGTGATACCGGGTACGTCCTACCCGTTACTAACCAAACATCTATCAGTTTAGTTTGTATGGAAAATGGCAACTTTAACCAAACTGTGCTACCTGCATGTGAACCAAGGTCTTGTCCTTTACCTACTCATAACCAAAATCTCACAGTGGACGGGTCAGCAAGTTTCAGGTATCCAGACTCTAAATTGTACCGCTGTCCTAAGGGATATTTATTTCCTGGTAAGCAAGACGTAGTAACTGTTGAATGTCTAGCCAATGGAACTCCGAGTATGACTAGTGTACCGAGTTGTTCGCCTGTTGAGTGCACAAATATAGGATATTTGACGAGCAACCTCAGCGTGTCACCAACAGGTCCGTACTTTTATGGGAGCAAAGCCAATGTTACATGTCCAGACGGATATAATATGGTCACTGATACAAGCTACGTCACGCTGAGCTGTGGACGTGATGGTACATGGGGACGTACATTACCTGAGTGTTTTAAGACCAGTGGTCAAACTGCGGACAGAATGTCCGGACAACCGGGTGGGTAACTGTTGATTTATAACTTTGTAGAGCTGAATCTGAATACATTTAAGCTATACAATAGAATAATGCCACTATTTTAAATCAAAATAAGTTTCCGTTACAATGGTTGACAAAAAACTTTTAAATAGAAAGAAAGACATTTAATACACGATAAGCGCCCCCCCCCCCCCCCCTTGTGGTAAATGTATAAAGAATCAAAGATCACGCTAGCTGCATAAACAGTTAAATTTAATTTAGCATTAAATCTATTCGAAAAAAGAAACAGTCTATCCTACATATTGTAGAAAGCACCATCTATACTACCAGACAGTTGACACAAACGCTTCTGTTTTCAAAATTAAATTAGCTTGAACAGATGTTTAGAATTCATCATTATCTTCCACTTTACAGAAAACATAGCGGCAATATCAGCAGGTGGTGGCGCAGCGGCGGTTGTTGTAATCCTGATAGTTGTAGGATTTGGCTTAATGTACTGGAGACGAAGGTACTTTAAATGAAAATACTCTGAACATAAACGGTTCCTTCATAGAGCACCAACCTGAGGGCTGAATAAAAGATAAGTCTGTCACTAATGTCTGATTGCGAAATAGGTGTGAAATATCCCAAATGGTGAAAACTGAAATGCTGAGGTCAATATACGCTATCATTCAAAGTGACCTCGCCTTTCATATCCCTGAAGTTCTTTGTCGAAATATTGGCCTTATGGTAATAAATTCTAATACATAACACGCATATCTATACAACATTTTACTTTCAGAAACAAGGAGAGAAACAGTTCTTCGCATGACCAGTCAAGTAATCTATCACCTTCCCGGGAACTAAGCCATGTTTACAGTAACATCCAGGACGTATCAGACAATCTCTCTTCCACTACCGTCGCCACTACCTGTTCAAATGCATCAGGGGGTGTAAATCCCCCAAAAGAGCAAGGGAAATCAGAAAATAATATGCGTGAACTGTACACCGTGCCGGAAAGGAGGAATAATACCAGAGCAAGGGCCGATCAAAATATAGGGGGCGACAGTGTGCGAAACCCCAGTGGTCTTTACACTGCGCTAGAGATGAAAAACAAAACACCACATTCCGGCACAACCACAGGTACAGGTGAAGCTAGCGCTAATGAATATGAATCACTGGGGCATACCAGAGACAAGCCAGGGGACCTGTATGACAGTCTCTGTAACGATGGGGCAACTTACGTCAACGGTGTGTGAGGTATCTGTCAGATGGCGTTATTTTTACAGACAATAGCATCTGTGGCTCGTGACTTTATCATGAAGATTCACAGAGAAAATTCTATTTTAACTTGATCATCAGAGGAAAACTGTGTTGCTGGAATAATAACTCTCTAAATTATAAACAAATTAACATGGGGAAATTCCTGAAAATAAAGGGAACAGTCAAAATTGCTGCACGATTATTGAGAAATTTAACTGGAGGCAAGATTTTTATCTCGACAAAGACAGATTAAGAAAGCATACGCATTTTCGCTTGCCGTGGATGCTGCTGCTAGGAGCCATCTACAATATACACGTTATCTTTACATGCCCATACCTCAGCAATATGATTTTATGGTAGAGCTGTTAACTAGTTATTTTTTATTTCACTCCCCAGTTTACACTCGAAAATTGACATAGGGAGTGAATAACGCACAGCTAGATCAGTCGGCTACATGTAGGCCTACATATCAATGTATGTAGCTGAACAGCGAATTATCTAATTATCATGATTCGGAAGTCGGAACGTTACAGTAGTGGGGCGCACTGCATATAGATCTGTAGATAACGTCATTTACTTACTGTGTAAACTAACTTATCACGTGGAAAATAAAGTGTTGTTTAGCCAGTTTATTGCTGTCTAATAAATTTGGCAAATGTTCAAATAAAATTAGTTGATTGACAAGAAAGCAGAACGACAATACAGACACCTGCTTTATTATACGTGTGTTCAGGCATTTTCGCATTTGGCATCAGTGAAGGAATATGAATTAATTACACAATTTGTTACAACTGTCATAACCAAAAATGTAATAAATGTTATAAAACGATCTGTGTTTGTCGGGATGCTAGTGTAGCAGTCTTGTATCTTCTTTGAAAAACAGTACAAATTACATTGTAATTTTCAGACTCTCGACCTACATGTAATAAAAGATTAACTTTAATACAAACAGTAAAGCTGATTAGTGACCCCGATTTTATTTTTATCTGGAGATAAGAAACAAAGCAACCTGCGCCTGGGGTGTACGCTGCGTCACGCTTAAGAAGGCGCGCTGTTATCTCCTTTTCTTGGAATGCGGATTTCAGCAGTGAATAATAAAAAAAAAACACGTATTAGATGACCGAGATTTGCAAAACGGGCATCTCTTTTAGCGGCGTTATTTTATGTGCGAAAGAGAAAAAAATGAGAGAAAACGTCAAAGAAACAGAAGTATGTGACTCATTCAAGTGTGCATAACGCGTTATCGTATTTCGTTTTTACTTCCCGGTTCACAGCTAAGTAGAAACTAACAAGTTTTGATTGCCTATTTACGAAATAATCAAACAAGATGGCGGTCTCTCGCACTAGCTCAAATTGTGCAGACCTGAGAAATGTCGGTATTCTGATCATGCTGATTTGGGTCAACAAGATCAGTATAGTCAAAGGTGAGTTAAAATGAATGGTCTGGGGCATATCAAGTCTATGGTGCGGATTACCTTCACCGCAGAATGGGGATATATCGGTAGGCAAAGTAATAAAGCAAAGACGACTAAAAAGATTAACCCTCTTTGCAGACACCTGTGTATTTCAGTTATGTAGGTTACTGTGACCCTTTTTACATCAATGGGTAGTTTTCTGTATCACACCAGCTTGACTACCCCTTACAGGTAACTACACTACGGGAAGGGGGTAGCTACCTTTACAAGCCTCAGTGTATATTAGTTTAAGTGGCTGTGTTGATCGAGCGCTGGGGCAGGTTTGTCAATCACCCCAACGGGTGCGATACAGAAAACTGTACCACTTAGTATGAAAAGGGCCTGTGTGTAATGACAGGTTGGTATATAAGCTATGTGGGCGCAGCAATCGCTGTGCTCATCCTTCACAGGAAACTGCTGGTCACGCTTTGCCTCTAACAAAACTTGCAGGAACAAAGCCTGCTGTCGCGACACAAGAGTAATTCAGTATACATTTATTGTTGACAGTGTGATATGACTGTCACAGCCGTCTTGTATATATCGACATGTTGACATCAATGTCCTGTCGATAGGTTAAATATCAAAGTCGCGACACAGGAGTAATTCAGTGCACATTTATGGTTGACAGTGTGATATGACTGTCACAGCCGCCTTGTACATATCAACATGTTGACGTGAATGTCATGTCGATAGATTAAATATCAAGTCGACATCAAAGTCATGTGCAAGCAAGAATATATATCGGTTGTATTATTACAACAAACAAGATACTCACTTGAACTATATTAAGGAATTTCTCAGTGTAAGTTTGATTTTATTCCCAACTGAACAAATTTTAGATGTTCTTGATAGTGTTGTACCTTGGTATTTTTGTTTACTTTAGATCTTTTTATTCTGTCTGTTCACGCACCCTTGTATAAGCCAAGGTCACAAGAAGGAAGTATGAATAAATTTCAGGGTCATGCTATTTAATCAAAATAAATTTGTCGTGTGCATATCGCTGAATATATAAGTTTAATTATTTACTCCTTACCGTGTTGTTGTACTAACGTTAATTTAGAAACGGCATTTCAATAAATGTGTATATGTTCAATTAAAACAGCCATATGCCAATTGTCTCAATGCTCAGGCATCACAATATGGCAGGTTTTGTTTGTGGGCATCTGCAAAATGAAACTGAAGTACAACTTGGAATGTGCTTTTAAGTGCCGATAAAAACAATTTAAATCGTGTAGATTATACTTTAAAGTGCTGATTACATGTATGGGTGTATTAACATTTTCCTTTAGGTATATGCATCGAACCCGACATCGATGCTCTACCAACGGACAGCAAGTGCTCTCGACCATTGTTGAAAATGCGACTGTGTGGTGCGAGGACACCAACCGTTTGCGCTAGTAAATATGTTTTTCTTCCATCTAAGGAAGATTTTATTGATTTGTCCCTTTTTTGTATATGGGTCTCTCTTTAAAGGGATTTAGTCCCTTTAAGTAAACCGCGGAAGTGAACATTTGCGATGCCTGTAGTGGTGAAATTTATTCATTTTGTAATGCTGCTGTATGAATTTAGATCACACTAGACCATAATTATATTTGTCATTACAAGGCAAATGGGAAATACTTGCTGTAAAGTAAAATGAAAGTCTATTGAAATAAAGATAACTGAAATATAAGATTATATTGGGTGTCTGCTCTATAGTTTCTCTTTTCGTTCACACTATTATGCTTTTAACGTGCACTACTGGTATTGAGCTGTGTCAAATGAAAAGTATTTCATTTTAATAGAATTCACGGTTTCTTAATACAATCATGGTTTTTAACATTTAACGACAAAAAAACTTTTTCAGTGCCACAAAACGTGACCCAAGTGTTCCATAAATACGGTACACAGGGTGCATCAAAGATGATGGAACTCAGAACGGTAGAAAAATGCGTTCATGGGTGTGTAACGAACTCCTCCTGTTATGCTGCTGACTGGAATACTGCTAGTGAAGAGTGCTGGTTTCACGAGAATGGCACATTCTGCAATACTCGCGATTCGGTAACTGCCGTTGATCATTATAAAATGCAAAAGTGTAGTCCAGGTAAGGTGGATAATAGACCGTGTTCAATATTGTCAGGTGTTACTTTGAAATCAGTCACAGTACATGCATCTGTCCAAAGTTTTAGAGACCATAATTCTGACAAAAACAAACAATTAATTTACTTTTGATAAAGAATTTAAAAATCAATTTTATCCAAATGTTAATGCTAGTTATTCAGTGCATTCATTAGATAACAATGAAACTTCCATATCTGATACGTTTATTCAAATATTATAATAATGTTTAATAGGCCTAGGGTCAAAATAGCATATGCGTAAAAACAAACTCGCCAATGAGTTATTTTGGCAAAATGCAGCAAATGATAGTCCACACGAAATATTCTTTCAGTGACCTAATCCTTTAGGCTTCTATGTTGTTTTAGTTATTGAAGTATGGGAATGCAGTGAACAATGTGGCAGTGGCAGTTGTCAGCGAACTCAAGGTGACAGCCAATCATGCATTTGTCATGTGGGTTATACAGGAGATAATTGCATCAGCCGTAAGTCTTTTTTGATAATAATTTTTGACACCAACACATTATTAAGTTGTCTTATTATTCAATATTAATATTCACTAAAGATGTTAACTCCGAGAGGAGTACCTACATGTGTGTACTTGTATTTGTATTTCGTACTTACATGTAACTTAGTTTCCATAGGCATGTTTAACAAAACATTAAATGTAGCTGATAATACGTGGGAACTATCTTCATACAAATATTGTATGTAAGACATTGTATTTTCAGTCTGTGGATTGCAGTATACATACCGATAGTTAAGTAACGTGTAAATCAAACATGCAAAATATATTATCACATAGAGAAGTATATTTTAAAGATTCCTATTCTTGCAGCTACGACATGCCCTGATCCTGGGAGTGGGGTAAATACAACGGTACATATACCACCCCAGGCTTACAACATTGGGGATGTAAAACAATACACATGTATCCAGGGACATTTTCTCGAGAACAACTCCAAATCAAAGACGTTGCTTTGTCAAATCAACGGTACATGGAATGGCACTGCTGCCCAGTGTAAACCTGGTCATTGCACGCCACCAGATGTCGGTAGCAACGCAAAGACATCTAAAGTTCCGCCAAACTACGTGCACCAGCAAGTGGACTTTAAATGCCCCCTCGGTCACGTGTTCCCTGATGGTACTTCCGTGAAAATTATCAACTGTACTACGAATCTATCATTCAACGCACCCATCCCAAATTGCCGAGTGCAGTGTCAAGTGCCGCAGAACCTTACACACATGAAACCAAGAGAACGTGGGCCGCATCTCTCCGAAGACCACGTACATTTAGATTGTGATGCCGGATACGTCCTACCCGTTACTAACCAAACATCTATCAGTTTAGTTTGCATGGAAAATGGACAGTTCAACCAAACTCAGTTACCTGCATGTGAACCAAGGTCTTGTCCATTACCTACTCATAACCAAAACCTCACAGTGAACGGGTCAGCAAGTTTCAGGTATCTAGACTCTAAATCGTACCGCTGTCCGAAGGGATATTTATTTCCCGGTAAGCAAGACGAAATAACTGTTCAATGTCTAGCCAATGGAACTCCGAACATGATTAGTGTACCGAGTTGTTCACCTGTATACTGCTCAGATATAGGATCTTTGCCGAGCAAGCTCGGCGTGTCATCAACAGGACCGTACCTATATGGAAGCAAAGTCAATGTGACTTGCCAAGATGGTTATAATATGGGCACTGATACACGTTACGTCTTGCTGAGTTGTGGACATGATGGGACATGGGGACAGATACCTGATTGTTTTAAGACCAGTGGTCAAACCGCGGACAGAATGCCCGGACAACCGGGTGGGTAACTGTTGATTTATAACTTTGTAGAGCTGAATCTGAATAAATTTAAGCTGTACAATAGAATAATGCCACTATTTTAAATCAAAATAAGTTTCCGTTACAATGGTAGACAAAAAACTTTTAAATAGAAAGAAAGACATTTAATACACGATAACCCCCCCCCCCCCATTGTGGTAAATGTATAAAGAATCAAAGATCACGCTAGCTGCATAAACAGTTAAATTTAATTTAGCATTAAATCTATTCGAAAAAGAAACAGTCTATCCTACATACTGTAGAAAGCACCATATACCAGACAGATGACACAAACGCTTCTGTTTTCAAAATTAAATTAACTTGAACAGATGTGAAGAATTCATCATTATCTTCCACTTTACAGAAAACATAGCGGCAATATCAGCAGGTGCTGGCACAGCGGCGGTTGTTGTAATCCTGGTAGTTCTAGGATTTGGACTAATATACTGGAAACGAAGGTACTTTAATGAAAAATACTCTGAACATAAACGGGCCCTCCATAGAGCACCAACCTGAGGGCTAAATTAAAGATAGGTCCGTCACTAATTTCTGATCGCGAAATAGGTGTGAAATATGCCAAATGGTGAAAACTGAAATGCTGAAGTCAATATACGCTATCATTCAAAGTGACCTCGCCTTTCACATCCCTGTTCTTTCTCGAAATATAGGCCTTATGGTAATAAATTCTAGTACATAACGCGCATAACTATACAACATTTTACTTTCAGAAACAAGGAGAGAAACAGTTCTTCGCATGACCAATCAAGTAATTTATCACCTTCCCGGGAACTAAGCCATGTTTACAGTAACATCCAGGACGTATCAAACAATCTCTCTTCCACTACCGTCGCCACTACCTGTTCCAATGCATCAGGGGGTGTAAATCCCCCAAAAGAGCAAGAAAAATTAGAAAATAATATGCGTGAACTGTACACCTTGCCGGAAAGGAGGAATAATACTAGAGCACGGGTAGATCAAAATATAGGGGGCGGCAGTGTGCGAAACCCCAGTGGTCTTTACACTGCGCTAGAGATGAAAAGCAAAACACCACATTCCGGCACAACCATAGGTACAGGTGAAGCTAGCGCTAATGAATACGAATCACTGAGGCATATCAGAGACAAGCCAGGGGACCTATATGACAGTCTCTGTAACGATGGGGCAACTTACGTGAACGGTGTGTGAGGTATCTATCAGTTGGAGATATTTTTTACAGAAAATAGCATCTGTGGCTCGTGACTTTATCATGAAGATTCACAGAAAAATTTCTATTTTACCTTGATCGTCAGAGGAAAATTGTGTTGCTGGAATGATAATTCTCTAAATTATAAACAAATTAGCATGTCGCAATTCCTGAAAAGAAAGCGTAGCGACAGTCGAAATTGCTTCACGATTATTAACAAATTTAACTGGAGGCAAGATTTTTATCTCGACAAAGACAGATTAAGAAAGCATCCGCATTTTCGCTTGCCGTAGATGCTGGTGCTAGGGGGCATGTACAATATACACATATTCTTTACACGCCCTTTGTTATACCACAGCAATATGATTTTATGGTAGAGCTGTTAACTAGTTATTTTTTATTTTGACTCCCTGGTTTACACTCGAAGAATGCTGTAGGTAGTGAATAACGCACAGCTAGGACAAACGGCTACATGTACATATACTATATAACTGAACAGCGAATTAGATAATTATTATGATTCGCAACATTACAATAGTGGCGCACCGCATATATTACTGTAGATAACGTCATTCATTTACTGTGTGTAAACTAACTTATCACGTGGAAAATAAAAAGTGTTGTTTAGACAGTTTATTGCTCTCTAGTAAATTAGGCAAATATTCGAATAAAATTAGTTGGTTGAAAAGAAAGCAGAACGACAATACAGACACCTGCTTTATTATACCAATGTTCAGGCATTTTTGCCTTTGGTGTCAGTGAGAGAATATGAATTAATTACAAAATTTGTTACAACTGTCATAGTCAAAAAACGTTAAAAAACGATCTGTTTGCCGGGATGCTAGTGAAGCTGTCAACTTGTATCTACTTTGAGAAACAGTACAAATTACATTTTAATTTTCAGACTCTCGACCTACATGTAATAAAAGATTAACTTTAATACAAACAGTAAAGCTGATTATTGACCCCGATTTTTTTATCTGGAGATAAGAAACAAAGCAACCTGCGCCTGGGGTGTACGCTGCGTCACGCTTAAGAAGGCGCGCTGTTATCTCCTTTTCTTGGAATGCGGATTTCAGCAGTGAAAATAAAAAAGGCATATTAGACGGCTGTGAGTTGTTAAACAGGCATCTCTTTTAGCGGCGTTATTATATGTGCGAAAGAGAAAAAAAATGAGAGAAAACTTCAAACAGAAAGAAGTATGTGACTCAACCAAGTGTGCATAACGCGTTATCGTATTTCGTTTTTACTTCCCGGTTCACATCTAAGTAGAAACTAGTAACTTTGGATTGCCTATTTACGAGATAATCGAACAAGATGGCGGTCTCTCTCACATGCTCAAACTCTGCATTCCTGAGAAATGTCGGTATTCTGATCATGCTGATTTGGGTCATCAAGATCAGTATAGTCGAAGGTGAGTTAAAATGAAGTGTCTGGTGCATATAAATTGTGTGGTATGAAAAGCGCTCACCGCAGAATGGGGATATAATGGTAGGCAAAATAAAGCAAAGACGATTAAACAAGACGGTCTCTCTAGGCAGATATTGTACATATCGAGGTAGTTTACTGTGACCCTTTTCACATCAATGGGTACAGTTTTCTGTAACACACCAGTTTCACTACAACTTACAGGTAACTACGCTACGGGATGGGTGTAGCTACCTTTCACAAGCCTCAGTGTACTGTTAATTAGTTTAAGTGGCTGTGCCGATTGAGCGCTGGGGCAGGTTTGTCAATCACCTAAACGGGTGCCATACAGAAAACTGTACCACTCGATATGGAAAGGGCCTGTGTGTAATGACAGGCTGGTAAATAAGCTATGTTGGGGGAAAGGTTGGGGCAGCAATCGCTGTGCTCATCCTTCACAGGAATTCTGCTGGTCACGCTTTGCCTCTAACAAAACTTGCAGGGAAAAAGCCTGCTGTCTCGACACAGGAGTAATTCAGTGTACATTTATTGTTGACAGTGTGATGTGTCTGTCACAGCCGTCTTGTACATATCGTCATGTTGACGTGAATGTCATGTCGATGGATTAAATATCAATGTCAACAACGAAGTCATGTGCAAGCAAGAATATATATCGGTTGCATTATTACGACAAACAATGCACTCACTTGAATTCTGTAAAGGAATTTCTCAGTGTAAGTTTGGTTTTATCCCCAACTGAACAATGTTAAGGTATTCTCGATAATGTTGTACCTTGGCCTTATTCTTTACTATAGATCTTTTTATTGTCTGTTCACTCACCCATGTATAACCCAAGGTCACAAGCAGGAAGTATGAATAAATTTCAGGGTCATATTATTTAATCAAAATAAATTAGTCGTGTGCATATTGTTGAATAAATAACTTTAATTATTTACTCCTTGCCAAGTAATTATACTTCTTCAGGTAATTTAAAAACGGCATTTAAATAAATGTGCATGATGTTCAATCAAATCAGCCAAATACCCATTGAATAAATGCCCAGGCATCACAATATGGCAGGGTACAGGGTTTTCTGTTTGTGGGCATCTGCAAAAGGAAACTGAAGTGCAACTTATAATGTGCTTTTAATTGCTGATAAAAACAGTTAAAATCGTTTAAATTATACTTTAACGTGCTGATTACATGTATGTGTGTATATTTTTTCCTTAGGTATATGCATCGAACCCGACATCGAAGCTCTACCAAATGACAGGAAGTGCCCTCGACCTTTGATAAAAATGAGACTGTGTGGAACGAGGACGCCAACCATTTGCGCCAGTAAATATGTTTTTTTCGACTTAAGAAGAATTTATTGATTTGTCCTGTTTTGTATATGGGTCTCTCTTTAATGGGATTTATATTTAGTCCCTTTTAATAAACCGCGGAAGTGAACTTTCGCGATGCCCGTAGTGGTGAAATTTATTCATTTATAAATGATCAGATTGGACCATTATGATATTAGTCATCACAAGGCAAATGGGAAATTCTTGCTGTAAAGTAAAATGAATATCTATTGATATAAAGATAATTGAAATATAAGATGATATTGGGGGCCTACTCTATAGTTTCTCTTTTCGTTCAAAGAATTATTCTCTTAACTTAAACTACTAGTACTGAGGTGTGTCGAATGAAAATTATTTCATTTTTTAAAATAAAATTCATGGTTTCTTAATATAATCATGGCATTTTACTTTTAACTATAAAAAACGTTTCAGTGCCAAAAAACGTGACCCAAGTGTTCCATAAATACGGTACACAGGGTGCATCAAAGATGAAGGAACTCGAAACAGTAGAACAATGTGTTCATGGGTGTGTAACCAACTCCTCCTGTTATGCTGCTGACTGGAATAATGCTAGTAAAGAGTGCTGGTTTCACGAGATTGGCACATTCTGCAATTCTCGCGATCTGGTGTCTGCCGTCGATCATTATAAAATGCAAAAGTGTAGTCCAGGTAAGGCGGATAATAGGCCGTGTTCAGTATTGTCAGGTGTTAATTTGAATTTAGTCACAGTACATGCATCTGTCCAAAGTTTTAGAGACCATAATTCTGACAAAAACAAACAATTAATTTACTTTTGATAAAGAATCAATTTTATCCAAATGTTAATGCTAGTCATTCCGTGCATTCATTAGATAACAATGAAATTTCCATATTTGATACGTTTATTCAAATATTATAATAATGTTTAATAGGCCTAGGTCAAAATAGCATATGCGTAAAAACAAACTCGTCAATGAGTTATTTTGGCAAAATGCAGCAAATGATAGCCCACACGAAATATTCTTTCAGTGACCTAATCCTTTAGGCTTCTATGTTGTTTTAGTTATTGAAGTATGGGAGTGCAGTGAACAATGTGGCAGTGGCAGTTGTCAGCGAACTCAAGGTGACAACCAATCATGCATTTGTCATGTGGGTTATACAGGAGATAATTGCATCAGCCGTAAGTCTTTTTTGATAATAATTTTTGACACCAACACATTATTAAGTTGTCTTATTATTCAATATTAATATTCACTAAAGATGTTAACTCCGAGAGGAGTACCTACATGTGTGTACTTGTATTTGTATTTCGTATTTACATGTAACTTAGTTTCCATAGGCATGTTTAACAAAACATTAAATGTAGCTGATAATACGTGGGAACTATCTTCATACAAATATTTTATGTAAGACATTGTATTTTCAGTCTGTGGATTGCAGTATACATACCGATAGTTAAGTAACGTGTAAATCAAACATGCAAAATATATTATCACATAGAGAAGTATATTTTCAAGATTCCTATTCTTGCAGTTACGACATGCCCTGATCCTGGGAGCGGGGTAAATACAACGGTACATATACCACCCCAGGCTTACAACGTTGGGGATGTAAAACAATACACATGTATCCAGGGACATTTTCTCGAGAACAACTCCAAATCAAAGACGTTGCTTTGTCAAATCAACGGTACATGGAATGGCACTGCTGCCCAGTGTAAACCCGGTATTTGTTCGCCACCGAATTTCGACAGCAACGCAGAGACATCTAAAGAACCACCATACCACGTGCACCAACACGTGGACTTTGAATGCCCAACCGATCACGTGTTCCCTGATGGCACTTCCGTGAAAATTATCACCTGTACTGCGAATCTAACATACAACGCATCCATCCCAGATTGCAGAGTGCAGTGTCAACTGCCGCAGAACCTGACACACATGAAACCAAGAGAACGTGGGCCGCATCTCTCCGAAAACCACGTACATTTAGATTGTGATACCGGGTATGTCCTACCCGTTACTAACCAATCATCTATCACTTTAGTTTGCATGGAAAATGGACAGTTTAGCCAAAACAAGTTACCTGCATGTGAACCAAGGTCTTGTCCCTTACCTACTCATAACCAAAACCTCACAGTGGACGGGTCAGCAAGTTTCAAGTATACAGACTCTAAATTGTACCGCTGTCCGAAGGGACATTTATTTCCTGGTAAGCAAGACGTAATAACTGTTGAATGTCTAGCCAATGGAACTTCAAGTATGGATAGTGTACCCAGTTGTTCACCTGTATACTGCAACGATATAGGATCTTCGATCTTATCGAGCAACCTCAGCGTCTCACCAACGGGACCTTTTCTATATGGAAGTGTAGTCAATGTGACATGCCCAGATGGTTTTCATATGGGCTTGGGAGGAAGTCGCGTCACACTGCGTTGTAGAAAAGATGGTACATGGGGACCTAAATTTCCTGAGTGTTTTAAGACCAGTGGTCAAAACGCGGACAAATTGGCCGGACAACCAGGTTGGTAACCGTTGATTTTTAACGTTTTGAAACGGATTGTGAATGTACTCTAGCTGCAAAATAATATAATGCCATTATTTCAATGCATTTCAATGGATGACAAAAAGCTTAAAAATAGATGGAAAGATAATGAACACATGATAACACTCCCCAATGTGGTTAATATCTGAAGAATTGAAGATCACGCTAGCTGCAATGGGCAATTAAATTCAATTTACCCTTTATCATTTTAATTTAAAAATTCAAAAACGAAACAAGCCATCCTATAAAGAAAATGCCATCTACCAGAAAGGTAATACAAACGCTTCTGTTTCCAAAATAAAATTATGTTGATCAGATGTTTAGAATTCATCATTATCTTCCATTTTACAGAAAACATAGCGGCAATATCAGCAGGTGCTGGCACAGCGGCGGTTGTTGTAATCCTGGTTGTTGTAGTGCTTGGCCTAGTATATTGGAGACGAAGGTACAGTATACTTTTTATAGAAATAATTAAATGCACGTGAACGGACACTTTATAACGCTCCCGCGATTTATGAAAAAACAATTAAAAAGGGAAATAGTAAATAATTCAATAATAGCGAAGATATACCTGTTTCTGATATCTGCATTATTGACTTAGGTGTTTTAGTATTGGATTTTATACGATTTCTTTCAAAGGGAAAAACCTGCACCAGTTACATAGTAATACTTATTTCGTAAACAAGGATTTTAGCAGAAAACGCGCCGTGCTTAATTACTTGTGAACTCACAATACGTACCACCAGATGCAAGGATACATGCAGCCCTTTGCATTCTTCTACAGCCGTGGTTTTAAGCCAAAGCTCGCAAAAGGAGAGAAAAACGTCTGTTCCTTTCTTAATTTTGTAACTTGTTGGTGTGGCTATTACAACACTTTCATTTCAGAGGCAAAGAGAAAAATGATTCTTCACAAGACCATAAAAATCAGCCATCTTCTTCCCATCGACTAAGCAACGATTACAATGACATTCAAGATGTTTCTGAGACTGGTTTTTCCTCAGCAGTCGTTTCATCCCCAAATGCACCAGACGATGTTAAGTTGCACACGAATGCAAAAGAACAAGAAAGTACAATAGCTGACCTGTACGCCGTCCCCGAAAGAAAGAAAAAAGCCAGAGCATGTACAGCCTCAGATACAGCGGGCGACAGTGTGCAGAACCCCAGCGATCTGTACGCTGTGCCAGAGAGGAAGAAAAAGAAAAATTCACAGCCCAGTGCAATCCAAGGTACCAGTGAAGCTGACTCTGATGATTACCAGCTGGCAACGCACTTCGGAGATGACGTGTCAGATGACGACATGCAGATGGTAGAGAATGACCTATATGAAGATAGTGACGGCAGATTAACTGACGTCACTGGAATGGGAGAGCCCCCTTCAGAAGGCGTTGTTTTTAGAGAAAATAGCATATATGGCTCATAAAGTCAAAGGGACCATTCCCAGACGCTATTGTACTAATTGTGGATCGATCTACTGTATCTCCGAGTGGATTCTCGCTAAATTGCAGTCAACGTTAGCGGCTTAGATGTCTGTCACACCTACTGCAGCTGCTAGGAGGTAATTAATTATCGTTTAGCAGCTTCAGTAGGCGTGCCAGACATCTTAGCCGCTTAAGCTGAAAGCAATTTAGCGAGAAACCCCTCGGCGATAGATCGATACAAAGTGAGTACAAAAGGTTCTGGGAATGGGAACCCAGTTAAAGTCTCAGAGGCAGCTCTGCTAATGCAACATGGACATCGGAACATGTGCTAGCAGCATAACAGTGTATAACTGTCTGTATGATGATTAGGTTAAATACAGACTTGACATTTAATATGGAATATTTTTTCCAAATCATAATTTATCAGTTTTTTTCCTATTTTGCTGACTGATAAATGAAAATAAGGATTAGAATCGTGCTTTAATAACTTTTGATAATCTATTCGATGTCAGTGTGACATCAGTTCATTAATTGAATTCGCCAGTGAAGCATACAAAAATACATTGCCTACTTTGAGTTATACGACAACCATTGATAGCGATATTTGGGATCTCCATATTTTCCTAATTATTGTCTTTAAAAGAGTTACATGTCCCACAAAGGCCCCCCATGTCAGCGTCTAGTCAAAGCAACAGTTGCTGTTACGCTTGACCTCATCTTGCTGCTACCAGAGTTTTCAAGTCACAAGGTATTCCTAATGATAGATTTTTAGAGTTTAATCTGAAATAAAATTCCAGGCAACGGTTAAAACTTGTCCAATTTGGCTCAGTTTTGTTGTAGGACGTGCAGGCCGTTGATTCGGCGAGTAATGACCTACCGATATATTGTCTATGTGGTTTAGTTATGGCGATTTTGATGACCAAGGTAGCTACTCATTCCCTTGGTTCTGTAAGTTATCTGCTATTAAAAGTGCTCTGTGTGAACCGGCAATCTCATCGTGCAACCTAAAATTGTTCCTAAGGTGCCCCCTATCAAATGATAGTCAAGTGGTTCTCAGATTATTCCTTTATTTGATCTGGTCCAGGTTTTCATCGATGACTACCATTGGTGTTTTGGCACCAATGTGGTATCCACTCTAAATACTGACACTGCCGATGACCCTAGTCACTTACGAAGTGGCACACGCTTCGTCGTAGGCCTCTTCAGGATGTCTGTAAACTTTGTTTAGACCAGTTTAGTGGTACAGGTGAAATCTGACCCCAATAAAGAAAGCCACGCGGTTTCAGTGTTCTACCCGGTAACGGTCATGGTCCCCAATTTATTAGAGAAACAGACTTCACTGCTTTGCTGTTCACAGTGGCTTCCTCAGAGGTCATCTGTTATCTTAACATGCTGAAAACAGTTTGGTGTTCGCTAAGAGCCTTGAAAAACGCGTTTTGGTGACAATTTGCCCCTCATTCAAAATGTACTGGGTGGTTTGGTTTATTTGCAGCAGCATATCCTGAAGGACAGTGAGTCCTGTACCCTGGTGGTAGGAAGTCGATGCATTGGGTGTGGTCTCTGTGTAGGTACATCAGTCTGGGCATTATCCTATAAAACTGTATAGACCATTCCGTTTGACACAATAATCTGTCTGGCAATGTCTGTGCTTTTCGCGCCATTCTGGCACAGCTAAACAATTTTGTAAAACACTGCTTAACTCATTTTACGCATTGCAAAACCGACCGCTTGCATGCAAAATTTCGAATTCTTCTATGCAGTAGTTGCCGACATATGGATACTTCTTGACAGAACCATGCTTCGCCATAGCCAAGCTTTGACCAGCCCACAGGAGCACTGCCCAATTATATCAGTGCATATTACACAAGACAACAGTGCAACAGACTTGGTAGTCAGTTAATTGGCAGCGACACACCTGACTTCACACTTCTCCAGTCAGATGTCTGATATGAGATCTCAATTTTTTTGAAAAAAGAACGCATTTTTACCTAGGTATACCGTTAAAACTGAAATATTCCATATTAAATGTCAGGTCTGTATATGAGCAATATTATTGATATCAAAGTAAACGGGTGATAATTGCTTACACGGACTATTGAAGAGTGTGTCGTGGCTATATGAAATACTACGGATTGGGAAAAAGTGCACTGATAATTAAACTTTTCATTTTGATTTCATTGAATAGTCCTTACTGTATAAACGGATATGTTAAATTACACTAGGCTTTACTAATCCAGTCATTGTTCGTCATGACTCGCTACCAATGATGTAATTTGCAATACGTTAGTCACGTACGCTCCGAACATTCCAATAGATATTAATTTGTCGTGACAAAAAGCTTATTGAGATATCTACGTATATGTAGATATTTGTCATGCACAAAACTGTGTTCCAGAACCTTAATTGATTAATTAATAAAGGGAATATTACCAGGGTCCAAAATCACAAATACAGTGTAGTTATATCGCAAGGTCAGTAAAATTTGAATGAAAAAATCCTTTAACTCAAAATGTTCTAGCTGTACACTTTTTTATTAAAACGGAAACTCCCTTCCGACTTTCAATTCTATTATATTTTTCTATTGAGTTGATTTTTATCAATCTTTTGTGAAAGGTTCATCAATAAACTTCAAGAAAAGTAAAACGTGTCTGCCTAAATATTCGTCAGTGTGAAGCATCTCTGAATTAATTTCTTTTAAATTGTAATTTGACAAAACAGCTGACATAAACAAAAGCACCTGGCTGTAGCATGCATCTCATTGCATTGTCTAACTCCTATAGTAGAATTGTGCTGACATATCAATTCTTATTTTAAACAGCCTGTATGTTTGCGTTAGAAGTTAACTCCAAAAGACACAAAAAGCTAGTGCAGAATGTATTCAGAAATCTTCTCACGATATTTGGAGAAAATTACAGACAGAGATCAAAATTTTCGATCAAAATTATGACAAGCTGCACACGTCTGTAATTTTTTTTTTTTTTTTTTTTTTTTTTTGGCTTTCATCACAATAAAGCACCCCAATAAAACTCTCTTTATAAACGTTAGTTATATTTCACATGTCCTCAGACCATGGCCAGTTCAATTGGTTAAACCACTTTTCCCTCAGGCAGCTCTGTCCTCAAAAGGGAGCCAGTTGATATTAAAATACATAAAGCTAGAAGTTGTCAACATTAGGAGCCATTGTTGTCATTCAAAGTGCGGGCGTGACACAAGCATTTATTTCTGACGCGGACAATTTCATGTATTGCAATACTGTCAAACAGCTCCAAACTTTAAAGATACGTTTTACTTGGCCTTCAATGATGTTTTCATCTGGTACATTCCAGCATGTCCGAACAATGACCTTACTATTCCGTAGGTCATTGGGCAATTAACCCACCCCCGTCTTAAGTTTGTTTGCTGGCGGTTTAGGTCACCCGAGACCTTTACAAAATGAGGATTCCCATTATCCTTGTATCACGATTCACCTCACAATATGTAATATAATAAGGTGTGTCAAAAACACGTGGACCTGTCGTGAATTCATTAGATACAATACTGGTATGTCACTTAAATTGTATAAAAACACATTAAGAATTGTATGCGCAGAATCCCCGTTTGCATTGAAAAAATTGTGTTTATTACCTAATTGAATTTTAAGGTTAAGTTATAAAGAAGGAAATAATTGCCCCCCTCCCCCTCTGCACTTTTCTCAGCCTAATGAGTACAGGTTAAACGTAGTGTAATTAGCATTTTTCTCGTAGTACTATATAGCAGTAAAGTGCTCGTATTTATCTCAAACTACAGCGTTTCCTATTGGTTTTATGAAGACTAAACTGCCGAGAGAATGTATATAGAGGCACATATATATGTATGTATACATGTATATGAACATATTTACTTAATTACTGCGCGTATAAACGTATTAAACCTATTCCACACCCTTTACTGAAAAAAATCGGTCTTTCTCCAAGGTTATTTCCAAGGATCGTGTCCCGAAAATATTGATAATGATATCTACCTTGTATGCCTCCTCAAACCATTCTTACCCTGTTATGTTCAAATAAAAGGGACTTCTCTAACATATATCGTATTACGATTGATCTCCATTGTGAAGATCACTTTTACTCGAACAAACCGCAGTACTGTTTTATACTCTCCTTGCATTTTTGCTAGTGGAATGTTTACATTCGTGCATCCGGGACAATGCCGTTCTGATTGAATACTCACAGGCCAAATAACTTAAAAACGTGTCTTATTGTCAAATAATTCCATTATTAAGAGTTTACCGAGCATGTCCCGCAGACAGTTTTGCGAAGGGAGAGGTGCCCCATGAATCTTCTTAAGTATCAAGGCATTCAAAGAATGAAATTTATTCAATAAGAAGGGATTGAGTTTGGCAAGCAATTCAGTTCTGTCGTAGAAGTTCTAAAGGACGCAGGGCTTCTGTCTCTCTGTAAGGATGCGGCAGTTTACAGCGCTAATGCTTTGGTCTCTATGCATTGTTGTGCTGCAACTTTGTCGTCAGGCGCACAGTCATGGCAAGATGACGTCACCAGAGCAGAGAGACCCCAGAAACACTGGTGTCAACTGC